GCTAAATTTTTTTTTGTATTTTTAGTAGAGATGGGGTTTCACCATGTTGGCCAGGGTGGTCTCGAACTCCTGACCTCAGATGATCTGCCTGCCTTGGCCTCCAAAAGTGCTGGAGACTGTAGGCGTGAGCTACTGCACCTGGCAATTTTTATTCTTACTCTGCGTTTGTTTGACCCTCCAATTGCTTCTGTTTCAAATGTTGCATTCACGTGAAATAAAGTGAGATTGGATATAATCTTTACTCAAAAAAATCTTACTTAAAGTTCTTATTTTCTCTTTAAGCCATTATGTACCCTTGTCATCTCCTTTTCTCCTTTTTACTTGACATGTTTTGTAGATTATCCTGAGCCCTGGAACACTGTGTGGATGATTGCAGATTTTCATCCACTTCTGGTTTCTTTCTTGTCCTTGCCTCTGTGTGGACTCTTCTCTTCCCAGCCACCCAGCATGTCTGCTGCTCTGTTTTTATCCTTACCTATCACTTCATACGACTTGGTAGGCAGAGAGGGTATCTTTTCTTGTTCTTTGGGGAATATTGAAATCAATATTCTGTGCTGTTCAGATGATGGTTTTTGAGGAAATGATATATAAATATAAGGGAGTACAGTCATTTGATGTTTGGGCCAAGTAATGTTTCTGTAGTTAACACTTGGTGGGGGGCAACAGTATTACATTTCTCAAAACCTGTCCTTAGATCTGCTTCTGAGGTGGAGGTGCTGTGACATGGCACTGGAGCTACTGAGAGATGGGATTGTTGATATTTTTGATGGTTGATCATACCCAGGCTGTGCCTGAGGTTCACAGTTCCCCTGTTTGTTACAGACTGAGGTTTGGGAGGCTTTCTATTTCTTAAACTTCCTTCACATGAGGACGTTGAGACTTTGAGGTATCCCTTTTGGGATCGATATTCTCCTTTACTAAAGCTTTTCTGCCATCTTGAGGAACCATGCTTAAGGTAACCCAGTAAGAGAAAAAAGATATAGCAAGAACTTGGTTCTTGTGACTGCAAGTGTGGGTCTTTTCTTTTTATTGAAGTGGTTAAGAAAACATTGTTTCAGTCATCTTACAAGTGAAGAAATGGAAATCATAGTCATTTGTGATAGCCTCTGCATTTAACATTTATTTGGGAAGCAATTTAGGAGTATGCAATAAGAGACTTCTAAAAATGTGTAGTTTTTGACTTGATAACAGTCTTGAAGAATCTATTCCAAAGAAAGAATCAGAAGTATAGGTAACTCTTTTTGAAAAATAGCAAAAAATTAGAACCAGCCTAAGTTGTCAACAATAGCAAATGGTTACATAAATGGTGAGCCATACACTGGAATATTATGCAACAGTTTAAAATTGTTTTTGAAAAATTTTTAATAGCATGAGAAAATAATACATAGTAATCATAAATGATGAAAGAGATCAAATAAGATGATACAATCTCAGTTACACAATGAATTAAACATATACTTAATTAAAATAATGGAATAAAATATGCAGACATTTTAATATTGGTCCTTTCTGGGTGGTGACATGGTTGATTTTTTTTCTTTTAGTTTTCTATCATTTCCAATATTCTTATAATGAATTTATAATCAGAAAAATTAAAGGTTATTAAAATATTTAGGTAAAGTAGAAAAAGACTGAGCTTTCAAATCCTAATAATTCAAAAGAATAAATTTCAGGACGTAAGCTGTTTTAATAAATCTTTTTTTTTTTTTTTGGGATAATAAAGACAGGGTCAGGTGCGATGGCTCACGCCTGTAATCCCAGCAATTTGGGACGCCAAGGCGGTAGATCCACTGAGGTCGGGAGTTTGAGACCAGCCTGGCCAATGTGGTGAAACCCCATCTCCACTAAAAATACAAAAATTAGCCAAGCATGGTGGTGGGCGCCTATAATCCCAGCTACTTGGGAAACTGAGACAGGAGAATCGCTTGAACTTGGGAGACAGAGGTTGCAGTGAGCTGAGATCACGCCATTGCACTCCAGCCTGGGTGACAGAGTGAGACTCCATCTCAAAAAAAAAAAGGTTTTTGTTCTGTTGCCCCATTTGGAGGACAGTGATGCAATAGCTCACTGTAGCCTTGAGCTCCTAGGCTCAAGCAATCCTCCTGCCTCAGCCTCCTAAGTAGCTGGGACTACACACATGTACCACCACATTCAGTTAATTTTTAAATTTTTTGTAGAGATGTGGGTCTTGCTATGTTGACCAGGCTGGTCACAAACTCCTGGACTCTAGTGATCATTCCACCTCGATCTCCCAAAGTCCCGGGATTACAGGCATGAGCCACTGTGCCAGACCAAAAAATTCTAATTTTAAAAAGGAATGCTTGATCTTGTTTTTGTTTTTAAAGCAAAATGTACTACTGTGTACATTTTGTTTTTAGTCAATGTATGATTGTATATGGTGCTGAAAGCCATGTGATAATGGGAGAGTGCTCTAAATATTATTTATTAATAAATAATTACATATTGTTACTTATTTTATTATGTAAACGTACATCTTATGGTATAACCTAATGGGCAAAGATTGAGCTTTGGAGCCAGCCTTTGCCACCTGCTAGCTCTGGAGCCTTGGCCAGGTTATGTAGCCTCAGTTTCCTTATCTATAAATTGGGCATGTGAAGATAAATGAGAAAATACATGTAAAAGTCTTTAGCACACTTCTTGACACATAGTAATCATTTAAAGGCTATTATAGCTGAAATGACCAATGAATCATGAATGTTCTACTGAAGGAACACTTCTTCCAAATTTTCTTATATGTAGTATTTAGGAGGAGCCATATGTGTTAGGTGATTAAGATTTTTTTTTGTTCCCCCCCCCCCCAAATACAATGGTGATAATCCAAAGATTGTGTAAGAGAAAGTAGATGTTTCTTCTCTGTTCCTCCTCTTATCCCTCTGAGTATGGAAATACTCCATGGTTTTCTCCAAGCTCATATAAACCTAAACATATACAAGGTAACTGGTTTATTTGCTTTGGTTTTGCCTTATATATTACTCTGCAGCTTTTCCTACTTAGTAACACATCATGAGCATTGTTCAGAGCTAATACAGATTGAACTAATTTTTAATAACTGCAGAATAGCCTAAATAATGTAGATATGCCAAAATGTACTTCAACTATGTATAATGGATACTCAGGTTGTTACGAGTTGCCACCCTCTACTGCAGATGACGTTGAATGCAGCATCCTTATACAGAATTTTTAAGATTCACTGCTTTTATTTCCAACGAAAGTTTCCCTAGAGTGACATTGCTGAGTTCAGAGTCAGTGCTAATTATAGTGCAAAGGGATTTGGGGTGCAAATACTATATAAAACTTTGTTGCTTTCTGCCCTTTTATAATCTAATTGAAGAAGAAATACACATTTATTTTTCCACAGATTTCTTTTCTTATGTACAACAATTTTAGTAAATGGTGTTTATTCTAACCAGGGAGGTTTGAAATTCTTAGCATTCTGAAACGTGAATCAGAAGAGCAAAATGAGTCTCTTGACTTAGGTTTACTGTGTAGTATTTGCTGTATTTATTAGATACAAATTTGTTAGAAATTGTACACAGTTAAGTCTTGCAGTTTTTAAGAGCTAAGAGTCCCACTTGAAAACTGAAGCACCTGACTTTTGCCGTCTTGTTCCTTAATGTGCTTACACCCTACAGGGTTGCAGACAGGGGAAGAGCCATCCCCACATGCAGTGTCTCGTCCCTTGAGGCTCAGGCTTGCTCAGCACTGATGCAAGCAGCTGAACAAATCTTGTTTTGAGGTCACCGATGGTAACAGGAATGATAGTATGCTAACAGATTATTTTTACAGCAGTAAAGTTATTGTGCTAGCATTAGACAGGTTCTTTTTCTTTGTAATGTCACTGAGAGCTACTTAGTACAACATAAGTTGTTGCAAGTGTCCACTTAAGTAGCGTGGGGTATGTGTGTGTTGTGTGTCTTTACAAGGCAGGGGAGAGAGAGAAGAAAGAACAATTGTAATGGGTTTGTGGTGCGTGTGCGTGCATGTGTGGCCATGGTATACCTTTAAGAAGCAGCACGACCATGTCTGTTTAGAAGCTTTGTTTTTCCCTATTAGTAATTAACATTTGATTACATCAGTTGGGATTATACAACTCTTTAACAGCTGACACTAGTTCATACCTGTTTTCATTCTTTCTCCCCTCTGATTCAGCTTCTTGGCTCTGGAGAAGCGATTGCATTATACACTAGAATCCACTTGGTGGTTGTCCTCCTGATTCACTGGAGTGGTCACAGATCTGAAACCCACTGGGCACCCTGTCACGGTTCCCAGTCAGTGGGACCTGTAGTTGCATGTTTTGGTTTCATATTTTTTCTCCTTGTGATAAGCAGCCTTAACTTTAAAAATTCTCTGGTCTGTAACTATTGGCTTGTTGGGAAAACATTTTAGCAGTCAGTGTGTTTCCTTGGGCTTCCTGCAGTATTCTGTGAAGTAGCAAGGATAAGAACGGCAGTGATGGCAAACACATAAACAGTGCTTACCATGTGCCAGGAATTTATAGATTATTAACTTATAACCCTCCCAACAACTCTAGGTGGTGGGGACTGTTTTTATCCCCATGTTAGAAATTCAGGGAGCGAACCAGCTTCGGACCCATGGTTATGCAGTGTGTAAGTGACTTAGGCATGGAAATGACTGCTTCTGGGTGAGGCTCGCTGTTGGGGCTGGAGAAACCAGCAAATGAGGCGACATTCCCAGGGAAGCTCAGTGCTGGATGCTCAGACCCAGATGGAGAGAGCTAGCAGAGTGGCTTGGCTGCTGCTCACTATTTAGATAGGAAGTGACACCCTGGACATGGGAGGGAAGTTGAGGGAGCTCACTCAGGCATGGGAGGAAGGAAACAGGGGAAAGGAAGGTGTGGAAAGCTTTGCTGAGGGAGGTCACATGGAACTGTCTCTCCTGGATAGCCCTTCTTCCTTGGCTACTTCTGTCCCTGTGGGGCGCATATCTCCGGAAAAGAGCTAAGCAAGCTAAAGGTGTGTTTATCCTCAGCGAGTTTCTTTTGATTTGATGAGTGAGTCATATGTATGCTCTGGCTGGAAAAGCTTTCCATTTGCTTTTGTGATTGTGTTTTTCAAATTGGTTTTTGAAGAGGTTCTACGCGATATGCTCAGGTTCTCTCACTCCACAACACAGTGGCACAGTAGAATAAGCCATCTAGGTAAGAGGCTCTGGCAGGGTGCTACGGCTGGGATGGGACCCTGATTCTGCTACCTTGCCTTCTGGATACAGCTTCCTCGGGCTGAAATTGGGTCCCAGCCTCAGGGTCCCCTCCACGATATCTGAGTAATGTCCACTGTGGGTGAGCAAAGATAAACTGCTGATGGTATGTCACAGTTGTTTTTTGTAGAATGTGGGTGCTTGCTATTGTCGTTGTTACTTTTATATCATAAGGTCATAGCTGATAACCCTCTTTCTGTGTCATATCAGCATGGTTCATTGGGTAAGAAGATGGGGTCAAATGGAGCTCTGGGTTTGAGCTTGATTGTCTTTAGTCGCTGAGTGATTGTGGGGGAAGTTATTTCCTCTCTTTAGCCTCAGTCCTTAGTCTGTAAAATGGGGTGGTGTAGCAAGAGTAGCTCTGTCGTCGTAGGGCTGTTGAGATTGTGCTCAGCAGAGTGCCCCATCAGTGTGTCTGCTTCATAAATGGCGGTGCTCATTATCACCTTCTTAGTGCTCTGACACTTGTGGGGAATTTCCCATTCTAATTTTTAGGTTTAATAAGCTCTGACATTCTAGGACATACATCATTGTGGATATAGATACTGACAGCAAAAAAAACTGGAATTGAAGAGTTGCAGATTGCACGTCTCTCAAAGAAGGGTGGGGTGTCTTACAACAAAGCATTCCTGGCGTGACTAGACAAAGCTCATTTGAGAGTAAACCAGAGTCAGGTATTCTGATGGAATTGATTATGCAAACTGGACCAGGAAGAGTCCTTTATTTTATGCCCAGTTGGTGGTACTTTACATTTTAAAGAATTTGTCATTTTACTTACAGGAAGAATTTTTCCTACTGCCTTTTAATAATGAAGGGAAAAACTATTGCTTTCCGTTTATCTAGTGAAACCCAGGTTCTATTTTGGAAGGACAAAGGAGTTAGTTTGGAGGGAAAATTCTGACCCTTTTTTTCTTGTAATGTAAAAAAGTGAGCACTGTTATCTGTTTTACCAGGTTACTTTAAAAAGTATCACTTAATAATTTTTTTTATTTTACAAACCCCAGCTTATTATTATGGAAATTTTAGGCACATACAAAGCTGTAGAGAATGGTGAGACCCCTGACATACCTGTCTCCCACCTTCAAGGGCTGTCAACTCATAGTGGTGCCTCATCTGCACCCCCACCCAGTTCCCAAACCCCTGTGATTTTAAAAGCAAATCCCAGACAACATTATTTTATCCATAAGTATTCAAGATGTACTTCGAATGCCTTCAGAGGAAAGTTTCGCTAAGGTCAAAAATGAAAACTTCCCTGTTCTAAGTTGCTTCCTGTGGGAAAATTATGTCTCTCTGGAAATCTCAAGACAGTAATCCTTAAAGCAGGGGGTGGAGAAATGATCTTTTAAAACAATAACTGGGGGAGCTTTTTCAGACTAACTTGTCCTCCTAGAAGATTGCCTCTTGAAGCCACCCCCTTACCCCAAGAGTTCACAGTGTTAGGGATGTACAAGATAGAGAACCACCTATCTGGTGAAAGTGCTTCCGGGTTATGGAGGCTTTTTAACCACCATGGATGGGACTTACTTAAAAATGTATTTATTTTCTTCCTTCTTAAACAGATTATGCTGGATACTATTTATTTGTTCCTATTTACTACAGGGCATTTTGGACACTGATTTGTATGCTCTGGAGTGTGTATTTTAATCATTTACGTGTCACCTACCTTGTTGCCATTTTTTATCCCATGTCAATGTGCTTGTCTGTAATAACAGCCCCTTGTCTCTTTGAAATCTGTTAAGGGCTAGAAGCAAGGTCAAGGAACTTGTAAAGAACTGTACTTAGAGTAAATGAACTGAGGGTGTTCTTTTGTATGATGTTGGAATTAAGGATTTGGTGATATTTAACTGCTCAAAGGATGTTTTGGCTGCATTTCTTGGTTTTTGGCTGTGTTCTGCATAGATCAGGTTGCTGTGTAGCCACGTTTCATATAGGTGAAGTATTACTGTAATGAGTTATAACACAGCAGGAATCTTTCTTTTCCAATTTCACGTACAGCTTTAGAAAGGCTTGAAAGGTCATTTACATGGTTAGTGCGTAAGAAAGATGGAAAATGTGTTTTAGGACAAGTTTCCATCTCACCACTGACTAAAAGTGAGTTAGGAGGGAAATAATGGAATCTTAAAATGTGCTTTTTAAAGTCTTTGTTGTTGATGTTATTTTCATTAGCAACTAAAGTTAGGGGCTTGTGTTTTAAACCTTGCAGAAAAAGCTTTACTTGGCTAAAAATAATTTGATGTATGGATATGATTTGGGTACTGTACAGCTCTAAAACTGATTGATAGAAAAAAACTAATAATTTCATTTGCACTGCACAAAACTAATTTCCTTTCTGCCTTCCTTTAAAGGAAAATAAGAGTAGACATTTTCAATATTCTTTCCCATCCCCTCCCACCTCATCACTTTTTTTAGCCTTTCCTTAGGAAAATGACCTAGTACTCTCAAAACTGAGCTGTGCCCTATGCAGGTTATACACAGCACAGACTAGCTGCATCAGTGTTTCCTTTCTTACACCCTCACCAAGATTACACAGGTCTGTGAAATGTCCTTGGGAGTTGTAATAATATGGAATGCTGGAGAAATTCCAAAGACTGTTGGTAAATATAGGATGTAATTGAATAGCAGTTAGCTTCTTTTGGCAAGTTCAGAACTTACCTTTAAGGAAAAAATAAAGAGTTAAGTATACATAGTATAGCATGGAGACTAAAAAGAAAGTGCGGTGACCATGTTTAGGATTTGGATTTGAACTACTGTCTTTCATGTGCCTGTGCAGGTAATTCAATAAAACACAAAATAGACTGTGCAGGTAATTCAATAAAGAGGAACATGCTGCACTTGGTTGATATTTGTGAAAGATCTCTCCTCTTCTTACCCATCATATTTAAAGATTTATTTGCTCTGCCAAATGACCTTTTCTAAATTGTGAGAAAGCTGTCTTTCTTTGCTTTGTGTTTTTAACTTTGAAGATTTTTTTTTTAATTAAAAATGAGAGAACAAAATACTGGAAATGCACAGTTCATAGGTAAAGATGGAAACTTACACTTTAGGAAGCTGATTGACTACTCAGAAGTGAATTTTAGAAGTGACTGAAGGTTTTCTCTATGTTCTCTTGCAATGTAGCCTATTCTATGTAAAAGACCTTTAAAATGTGATGTTTACAGAGCAAATATCCCAACAAATTGCTTTCAGCAAGCATGGGCACACTAAAACACTTTTTATCATCTCAGTAGTTCCATTGTATTTGTTGCAAGGAACTTGTCTGGATGTGCAATCTCTGTCTGTGAGAATACCCCAGTATAAGACAGATCGGGGGCTAGAAAAGGAAAACTTGGGTGGTGGGAATGTTCTTTTGGAAACCCAAGTTCAATTTTTTCCCCTGAAAAAGCATGAGTGAGTGGAATAACTTAACTCTCATCCTTTTTCTTTGTAGCTTAACCCTCTCTTAAGAACCCAAAACTCAAACCCATCTAAGGCTCCAGGTCACTGAGGTCATGCTGGAGACTCCTGCCCTGCCTTAGTGTCAAAAACCCAGTGATCTCAGGATTCATTCTTTCTTCGTAATGACTGTGTTAGTCTATTCTTGCATGGCTATGAAGAAATACCTGACACTGGGTAACTTACAAGAAAAGAGGTTGAATTGGCTCATACTTCTGCAGGCTCTATGGGAAGCATGGCACCAGCATCCGCTCTGCTTCTGGTGAGGGCCTCCTGGAGCTTTCAATCATGGTGGAAGGTGAAGGAGGGGAGCAGGTGTTGCATATGGCAGGAGAGGAGGGGGCAAGAGAGCGAGCGGGGTCGGGGGAGGTGCCAGACTTTACAACAACTAGATCTCAGAAGAACTCAGTATCCTGAGGATAGCACCAAGCCAGAAGGGAGCCACCCCTATGACCTGGACACCTCTGACATCGGGGAATTACAATTCAACATGATATTTGGTGAGGACATGTATTCAAACCATATCAATGACAAACATTTATTTCACTTCCTGCCATGTATAAAGCTCCATGTTATGATTATAGAAGGCCACAAAGCTGACTCCAATACGGGTCTTTCCCTTCAGGACTCTGACTGGGGAGCTGAGACACACATGAGAGTGATCGTAGGATGAGAGACTCTGTGATACACCAGGAGCTGTAGAGACACGGGCTCATGGATTTTATAAGACCAAGGGAATTTCGTATCAATTTCCCCTGGGGAAAAAAGGACAATTGCAACACTGGTTGGGATTGCTGTACACATGCTATTGGCTAGAATAAGAAGTCTTCCCATCCAGGATGGGCTCTTCAGAGGACATTTAGTCCGAGATTTTCTCCTTTATGCTTCAGGTGTCTGAGTTTGTGGGATAACCAGGTAGCAGTGGTTGAACTAAGAAAATGCATGATTCAGCATTCTACTTGGTCATTGTTTCCATGGGATTGTCATAGCTTCATGTTAAACTCTGCTTTGCTGCCCCACCCCCTACCTTCGTTTTTAACCTTTAAAAAGACTTTCTCTACAGTAGGTGGTGAAGTACTCAATTTCCTCTTTACACAACTCCTTGGCCATGCTTTGAGCAAACCTAGCATACTCTGAAACTATGAGAAGAGTAGGAAGTACACTTGCCCACACTTCCTGAGTGCTCACTAGAACTATTTTCTCACTTCTCACAAATAGGTGGGGTAGGTATTAATTTCATAGGTGAGTAAACTGAGGCTAAAAGAGGATAAGTACTTTGCCATTCATTCTGCCCCTCTCTGGTTAAAGCCAGTACTTGCATGAAAGTTTGTGCGTGTTCCTCTCCCTAATAGTAAACCTTGGTTCTTAGAACCCCTCGGCTCAACTTCAGTCGAATGAGGATTTTTCCCTCTCTTTAGTCTTCAGCTTTCAGTTTCCAGTGGCTTTACTGAGACAAAGACCCTGGAAGCTGAAGAGTTCAGAGAGTTTACTGCACTTTCCCTGTCATTCCCCCGTGCTTTGTATTCCGAATTACTTTCATCACGGAAGGGTGAAAATCTAAGTCTTTTTTTATTTTTATTTTTTAAATAGATTTAGGGGGTTCAAGTGCAGTTTTTTTGTTTGCTTGTTTTTTGAGATGGAATTTTGCTCTTCTCACCCAGGCTGGAGTGCAGTGGCACGATCTTGGTTCACTGAAACCTCTGCCTCCCGGATTCAAGTGATTCTCCTGCCTCAGCCTCCCGAGTAGCTGGGATTACAGGCGCCTGCCACCATGTCTGGCCAGTTTTTATATATTTTTTTAGTAGAGATGGGGTTTCGCCATGTCGGCCCGGTTGTCACTCAAGTGCAGTTTTTTTTTTTTTTGAGACAGAGTTTCACTCTCGTTGCCCAGGCTGGAGTGTAGTGGCACAATCTCGGCTCACTGCAACCTCTGCCTCCCAGGTTCAGGTGACTCTTCTGCCTCAGCCTCCTGAGTAGCTGGGAATACAGGCATCCGCCACCACACCTGGCTAATTTTTTGTATTTTTAGTAGAGACAGGGTTTTACCAGGTTAGCCAGGCTGGTCCTGAACTCCTGACCTCAAGTGATCACTCGTCCCGGCCTCCCAAAGTGTTGGGATTACAGGGCTGAGCCACCGTGCCCGGCCAAGTGCAGTTTTTTTTACATGGCTGTATTGCATAATGGTGAAGTCTGGGCTTTTAGTATAACCATCACCCCAATAGTGTCCCAGGTTACTTTCTTTATAAGATGCTCTTAGGAAAAAGAGGGTTAGAAGATTGTTTTGAAATTAGAAAAAAATCACAGTATTGAAAAAAATTAGGAGTCAGCATTGTTAGCTTTATGATCTATATTTTACTTAGAAATAGAGTCTTGCTCTGTTGCCCAGCTGGAGTGTGGTGGCATAATTATAGTTCACTGCAGCCTCAAATTCCTGGGCTCAAGTGATCCTCCTGCCTCAGCCTTCCAAGTAGCTGAGACTGCAGGTACACAAAACCATGTCCAGCTATTGTTTTTATTTTTATTTTGTAGGGTCAAAGTCTTGCTATTTTGCCCAGGCTGTTCTTGAAATCCTGGACTTAAGTGACCCTCCCACTTTGGCCTGCCATATTTGTATAGTTTCTTTAATTTCTATGACTGGGTCTCAGCAAGAGTTGCAACTTAATAGTATTTATTAGATATGTTCTTAAAGAATAGGTCAATAGAACTATTAAGTAGCTTATTTCTGTTTATTTGAAAAAATAGACTTGATTTTTGGGAGCACTTTTAAGTTCATGGCAAAATTGAAGGGAAGTCTTAAAGATTTCCCACATACCCCCGCCTTTCCCCGTGCTCCCCCACTATCACCATCCCCCACTAGAGTGGTTCCTTGGTTACAGTTATTGAACCTAAATTGGCACATCTCTAGCACCCTAAGTCGTAGTTTCCATTAGCGCTGACTCTTTGACTTTTTATTTTTAACGGACCTTTCTCTTAAAAAAGTAGAACTTACAGTAAATAGAATGAGGGCTCTATAAAGAGCCCTCATTTTTCAAGAGTTATAAGAGATAACTCTTTTGAAAAAGTTTTTATTAGGAAAATCTAAAGTGTCTAAACATGTGACATTCCTATGAGCATGTGGCATTTAGTTGCAGGTTTTATAATGTATATGTGATCAAATGAATATGATGGGGCCCCAGAGAGCCACATGGGGAAAGTTGGAAAGGTTCCAGGAGCCCGACTATTTAACAGAAAGGAGATGCTTAGAGTGGATTTCACATCAAGTCTACTTTATAGTAGATATTTTACTCCCTGTTCTAATGACAAAGCAGAGGTATTCCTATTGGGCATAAAATATAGCAGGGAGCTGAGTTACATTTGAGGTGGAGCTCTGTGCCTGTGTGGATGGGTAAAAGATGGAATTTTAACATATGTGCTATGGCTTTTTTGAGAACTTAAAAGTAGTGGATAAATTCACAGAGTATAAAAATATTGAAATGAAAAGGACTAAGAGATCTTTTTCTCTAATCCTATTATTATAGATTAGTGTCAAGCAGATTGTTTACCTGGGATAATTTAGGTGTAGCCATTCCTAAAGGTAAGAGATGTCTTAAATGAGTGCCTGAAACTTCTTTCCAGAAGCACAGCTCTGTGGCTATGCAAGTCCTGGGTGAAAATGTCATGAACTTTTAATGTAGGTAAATGATGTGTGTGTTAGAGGTGAAAAAAAATGTGTTTCTAACTCTGAGGGAGTTCAGTGTCAAAATGTGCTGATATTTTTAACATAAGCTAGATTAGTATGTTAAAATAAGCACCAATGGCCGTGGGAATTCAGACAGAACAGACTACCTGTGATACCAAGGATCAGAGAAGTCCATAGAAAGAGGCAGCATCATTTAAATTGAGCAGTGATTAGGTGTGAGCATGTTTACTACCTGCACTAAGGATTGCCTTCTTTTTCACTTTTGATTATGAAAACTTTTAGGTATATACAAAACCTAAAAGAACAGTAGAGTGAATGTCTGTATACTCACAGTTAGATTCAACAACTGTTAACATTTTGTGTATTTGTTTTAACTTTGAATTTATAGATGTGCTTATGTGTGTATGGTGTATGTGTTGGTTTTCCTTTTCTTTTCTTTTTCTTTTTTTTTTTTTTTTGAGGTGGATTTTTTGCTCTGTTGCTCAGGCTGGAATGCAATAGTGCCATCTCAGCTCACTGCAACCTCCGCCTCCTGGGTTCAAGCGATTCTCCTACATCAGCCTCCCGAGTAGCTGGGATCACAGGCACACACCACCATGACTGGCTAATTTTTGTATTTTTGGTAGAGACGGGGTTTCATCATGTTGGCCAGGCTGGTCTCAAGCTCTTGACCTCAGGTGATCCACCTGTCTTGGCCTCCCGAAGTGCTAGGATTACAGGCGTGAGCCACTGCACCCAGCTGTGTGTTGGTTTTTCAAAAAAACACTGGAAAGTAAGTTACAGGCATCATGACTTTTTTTTATAAACCCTGATATATCCACTGGCATCTCTTAACACAATTCTGTCTATTCTCCTATATAATCACAATTCTATCAAAATCTGAAGAAAATTAATAAAAATACATTAATGTCATCTAATTTCTATTTTCTATTTCAAACTTTCCTAATTATCTGTATTTTTTACAAGTATTTTTTTTTTCCACACCTGGATTTAATCAGGGTTCACACACTACATTTCGTTTTCATAATTCCTAAATCTCTTTTACTCTGAAGCAGCCTGTACTACCTCCCCCTCCCCATGCTCAATTTTTGTTTCATGACATTGACTTTTAAAAGGATCAGACCAGTTTTCTTATAACATTTTGTTGATACCATATCTTGCAAGTATTTTTGTCAACTGGAGATTTTAAAAGTCTTTTAGAAATCAAAATATGTATTTTCTAGGAGATACATTACCAGATTATCTGCTAGCCATGAATATAAAGCCATTGCTCCTGATACACCATTTTCAGTAGATAATGTACTTTAAAATAATCTTTATTTACAAAAATAATGTAAGACAGCTGTAAGATGCTAGAACAATACAAGGTTAGAAATAGAAATATACAAGGTTAGAATTCTATTTAATATCAAGTAGCTCTGAGATAATAATTTTGCCGAGCTTACATTCTTTCCTTTTTCTGTGTTTTTGTTTATCATAAAAATTGCAGTCATCTATACATGTTGTTTAAAGTTTGCTTTTTATTTCACTAGTTATGCATTGCGAATGATGTCCCATAGAATATGTAGTAGAGATTGTTTTTGCTGGGAGCAGTGTGTACCAAGCCAGCCACATTCTTTCCTAGGTGTTTACAATGAGACACACACCCAAATGTAAAGTGCCTGGCTCAGGATTAGCAATGTGGCTTGTGCCCACAGAGCAAATATTTTTCTCTGTTTGAGGCTCTCTGGTTAATGCAGGAATTGAATATTGGCCTCTTCTGTTCTGTGCTTTAATAAGTTGAGGGAAATTCATGAGTAGTAAACACCTAAGGGCTATATATTTGAATTTGGCTCCCCCCGCTGTTTTTCTTGGGGTTGGGGGTGGGTGGGTCATTTCATATTCTTTTCTGTACTTATCAAGAGATCAGACTGGCTTACCTTAGAGGTAAACATGATACTCTGCCAACATAAAGTGATTTAGAAATGTTAATATATTTTACCAAGCCAGAGTTTCTAGCATATGTATTTTAAGCCATCATAAAACATATACCTGTCATGTTAAGGAATGTGCCCACAGCAAGTATCAAAGACCTGCAGTGGGAGGCTGGGGAGTGTGTTTTGCTGTGTTGCAGGGTTATACCCTGACAACCTCTGTGAGGCATGAGGACCGGCAGGGAGTGGTTTGTAAATATTGAAGCCATTTTATTTATTAATTTAAAAATTCCTACAAGTAGTAGCTATTCCTATTTGTACATCCAAGTGTCTTCGGGCTCAGGGGGTAATTCTGTGTCGGCAGATGGATGAAGAGTATAAATCCTGAGTGGATCTGCCTGAATCTAGTTAACAAAACAATCAGATGAGCAAGAGATAGTCCGTTGGGCTTAACGGAGAACAGAACATTTGGACAGAAAAGCTTTCTGGACATTTCTGGCTTCTTTGAAAGACAAGTGTGATGAGCCTCCCAGCAAGATTGCTGGCTCAGGGTGGAGCAATAAGGCCACTTTTGTTGTTATTTTATTCTCATGTTATCCATGGCAATAATGTCATCATTTTCATTTGGTGGTTCATCAGGGTGTCAATAAGGCTTGTTACTATAATAGTAAGTTAAATTATCTGTGATTTGGTTACAGGATTTTGCATCAAGATTTTGTAAAGGGACAAGATGATAATGGGTGGTTCCCCACATCTGTCTAAATATTTGTTGAAAAAAGGACAGAGTTGTGATTTTTAAGTGCTTTGAAGAATTCATCTCTTTCCATTAAAAAAAAAATGGAAGTAGCTGGCCAGGTGTGTTGGCTCACACTTGTAACCCCAGTACTTTGGGAGACCAAGGCGGGTGGATCACATGAGTTCAGGAGTTCAAGACCAGCCTGGCCAACATGGTGAAACCCCATCTCTACTAAAAATAATAATAAAAAAAATAGGTGTGGTGGCGGGTGCCTGTAATCCCAGCTACTTGGGAAGCTGAGGCAGGAGAATCTCTTGATCCTGGGAGGCGGAGGTTGCACTGAGCCAAGATTGCACCACTGCACTCCAGCTTGGGCAACAAGGTGAGACTCTGTCTCAAAAAAAAGAAAAAAAAAAAAAAAGGAAGTAGCTGATTATATTAAATGCATATTCCCACCACTTTATCATTCATTCTAAGTAAATAATAAAGTGTTTACATAAGACATGAAAATAAAAGTAAATAATGTTAATAAAAGTAAAGAGGCAGTGTTGCAAAGAGTGAGGAGGAACAAGATCAAATTTTAAATTCAGTGAGGCACTTAAGTCATTAAACTTTACTTTTTTCATCTGTAAAATAGACACCATAGGGTTGTTCATGAAGTTGGAATAAGACAATATATTTAGAAATTTAAAAAGCAAAACACTAGTGTTCAAGCTCCACTCCTAGTGGGCTTTTTAATTTGTATTTTATTTTATTTTTTTTTAATTTGAGACGGAATCTTACTCTGTTGCCCGAGCTGGAGTGCAGTGGCATGATCATGGATCACTGCAGCCTTGGCCTCCCAGGCTCAAGAGAGCCTCCCATCTCAGCCTCCCAAGTAGCTGGGACTACAGGCACATGCCATCATGCCTGGCTAATTTTTTTTTTTTTTGTAGAGACAGGGTCTCATTGTGTTGTCCAGGCTGGTCTTGGACTCCAGGGCTTAAGTAACCCTTAGGCCTCAACCTCCCAAAATGCTGGGATTATAGGCACGAGTCACCACGCCCAGCCTCCTAGCACTTTCTTGAGTGGACAGTATTGCCTAGTGAAAAAAGCATGTGAACTGAAGTTATGTAGACATTGGTTTAAATTCTGGCTTTGCCATTTACGCTGTGCACCTGTGAATGAATTCTTTAATCTCTTTGAACCTCCATTTCTTCAACTGTAAAGTAGCTTTTATCGTATCACCCTTGTAAGATAAGGCATAGGGCATGGGCTCTGCCAAGACACTTAGGAGTTCCAGAACTTGCAGCTTATCAAATCTGGATGGTGATCTGTTGGCAGGGGGGTGTGCGCTTCTGTGTGTGTGGAATATGGTACCATTGACAGGTCCCTTCTGGAGTATGACCGTGGTGTTTCTTTTGCATTTACAGCTATCTTCCAGAGGGCCACACTGGGCATGGACACCCTTTTCCCTACCTGGAGGAGCACAGGTGATAGTGTAATTTTCCAGTCACGAAACTGTTAAGGCCGTCTCAGGGGCGTGTGCGCCAGGATAGGAGGGCGGCGTCCGAGGACCACATAGCCATGCCTTTTGGTCTGAAGCTCCGCCGGACACGGCGCTACAACGTCCTGAGCAAGAACTGCTTTGTTACACGGATTCGCCTGCTGGACAGCAATGTTATCGAGTGCACGCTGTCGGTGGAAAGCACAGGGCAAGAATGCCTGGAGGCTGTGGCCCAGAGGCTGGAGCTGCGAGAGGTAAGGGGGTGTGTCTGTGTGCGCATGCGCGCATGCATGCGTGTTGGGTATGTGAAGGAGAACTCACCAAAGGGACCAGCCATCTGTTTCTTGGCATCTGTCATGTTTTTTGGCCTAAGCGACAATGTGTTTATAAGAATCCTGTTATTCTTAGCATGGCTGTGATCTTATCCGTCATTGGATGGGGAGATTCGTGCTGATGTGAACCACGCCTAGAGCTGCATGGCGTGGCAAGTTTCCTTTTATTTCAGCTGGGGAAGAGGTTTTGGGGGAGTTGAAAATGAGAGACTCTCTCTACCAAAGTCATTTTCTCTCTTTAAAACAACTGAGTGGGTAGCTGGTATTTTGGCATTCTGGCTGCACATTAAGGAGAAAAACGCCCACATACGGATGCATGCAGCTGCCTTTTTTTTTTTTTTTTTTTT